ACTCGTAAAGTTGCGAAGACATTAAATTTTTTTTTAGATTGATTATTATAATTTTTTAAATATCTTAAACATTAAAAATATTTATATATTTTTAAATAAATTATTAATTTATATACATTTAATAATAACAATTATTTAACATATAAAAAATATAAGAAAATTTCCTTTTAAAACGAAAACCCTCCATGCTTTTATGTATCCACCTCATGGGTTGCAGAAAAGTAGTGGCCCAACAAAACGAGGCTCGCACTATTTTGCGCCTCTCCATTTACTGAATTCAGTGCACCGCCGTTTAGCACCCTTTATCCAAATCGGATCAATGTTAACATATTTTTATTGTTTATCAAAATTTATAAAAATATAAGAGAAAATTATTAATTTCAAAATAAAAAAGTGATATTCACGTAAAATTATAATGTTTAATAATTTTTATTTAATAATTTAGTTCTTGTTAGATCACGTGTTATTAGTATTTTTCTTGTTAAGATCCTATTATGTAATATTTTAAACATATTTTAATTATTAAATAAAAAATAAATTTACGTAATTTTTATAGTTTTAATAGTTTGAACTAAAACCCACTGTTGCCATTGAATTGGACGTAAAGAAAAGAAAGCCAACGTTATGTGCATGTGAAACACAAAAGTCTAATTTATTAAGGAATTTCTGTCATACAGAAAAAAATAATAATATATTTAAGATGGGATCGTTTCTTCCTTCAATCGTCGATTTCCCCTTGCGTCTTTTCACCGCTTATGTAAGGGTACTCTCTATTTACATACAGCAGTTGCAATTAAGAGAATATCATTTTTATATATAAAAAATAATAAATTTAAACTGTATAATTATAATATATAAATAATTAAATTTAAATATTTTTAAAAGTATCTATTCACTTTATTTTTAAAAAAATTATACTTTTATTTAAGATATTTTCTCATAAATTTTACTATACAATAAATAATTAAAAGTTACCTTATCCCAAAAAGACAAACTTATTAGTTGTAAGACATTTATTATATTTTACTCAACCAACTCTATGATGACAATTTTGTAATACATTTTAACAAGTTATATATAGTAAGCTAAATTTAAAATTCCTTATTTTTTTATTAATATATTTATATTATTAATCAATATTTAATAAAACTTTTATAAATCATCATTAAAGTGGTATTTTGTTAACACAAGTAAAATTTAAAATAGAAAAAGAATTCATAATAAAATAGGTTTGGATAGTTATTGAATTATTTACATTTTGTGTTTATTCACAAATATTAGAAAACACACGAATTTATCTTAGAGTAAATGTGCCTGTCTAGCAAATGTAGACGACATATACTTGAGTTTGCATGGACCCATAAAAGATATTAATTTTGGGTAAACATGGATATCTGATGAGCTCGACGCAAAAAAATTTCTGATGAGCCTTTATCGATGAAGAAAACGACACACGATTGCAGAAGATACAGAAAAAGTACATAGATTACGACATAAAAAAGCATCAGGTACAAAGGATGTGCTTACCGTACCCTTCTTTTCCTTTGACCCTACACATACGAAATATCCAGTCATGTTTCTCACTTGATTAAATCTGTATCGCATGCTATTGTTGTCTTTTTACTAGTCAACACATGCTATTATTGTTTGATTTTGATAATTTGATCCCTATGAATGAAGGTACCAGTGTCCATTACGAATATTGCAATAGGAGGTTCATTTGGGCCGACACAATACAAAAAGTAATCTCACAAGTTGAGCATACACAATATGCGATATATATATTTGTTTCAAGATAATGGCATCTAAATACAAGTGACTAATTATTACAAATGAAATTAGGAGTGAATGTGTGAACTTTAAGGATTAATTGCAGTTATATGTTTTAATTATTAAAATTTTAATAATTTCATTATGCGTCTGTGTATTGTAATACAATTTTAATGTTAGTTTTTATTACTATTTATAAAATTTGATTACACTTTTGGTCTCTTTGATTTAAGTATCGTGTAATTTTGATTTTAAGTTTTTAAAATTAATCAAGCTTGTCTAATTCAAAAGTAAATACATTTAGGGTATATTTGATTTTCCTTCTAAAAATAGTTTTTTGGCTTTAAAAATAAATTATATTATAAATTTATATTACAATTTATCTTTAAAAACAGAAAAAGAAAATCAAACGTGCTCTTAGTCTTTTTTTTTGTATTTTCTTACTTTACATCTTTAAATTACTATTCTTTATTTTAATATTCTAGAGTTTATAATATATTGGCATGCAGTGACTTATAAAAATTTAGTTAAAACTTAAATAATTTGATTAGATATGAAATTAATATTGAGTACAAAATAACGATAAACTTTTAATAGAAAAAAAAAATTAAGGGAGTATTAAATTTGTTTACTTTTATAGTCAAGACACTTAATTGATTGAAAAAATTATGTAAAGGAATAAAATTACACATAATTTAAACTAAAGAAAAAAATTAATTAAATTTAAATTTATAATTTTGAATTGGAATTTCAGTAAATATAATCATATTAAATATTAAGAAGAAAAATTTTATTGACTATAATAATTTTATTCTGCTTAAACATTATTATCTTTTCATAAATATTTAGAGGAAGAGTTTTGCTATTCCTGTAAATATGATAATATCATTTAAAAAATTATAAAATAAATCTTAAGTGAATGTTATAATTTGTTTATAGATTTTTAAAAAAAATAATAATATTCTCACAACTTTTTTTTTGGTGTCTTTGAGTGATATTATGAATATTTTCTCACATGTTTCACTCATTTTTGTAGAACATGTTGTGAAAATTGAATGGCATTAATGTCAAGTTAAAGACAAGCGTATGTTGGGAGATGAAGTAACGTGCACAGGGGAAAGAGAAGAGAAGAACATGCCTCACTCACCTTCACCTTCACCTTCACCTTCACCTCAGAGTGGTGTCCAAATGAAAGATTCGCGTATCATCATCCGCAAAAGAATGGTAGTGGTGCAAGTGGAATGGAATCACGCACATGCACTCACTTTGATAGCAACATATAACCAGACACGTTGCCCCACCTTTCCCTTGCGTCCCAACTCTCAATTAGAAGAGAGGACGGTGACTCTGCATTTTCCATCTCAATTTTATTATCAATACTTTCTTGATTCTCAAATCATCTTTTCGTTTAATTATCAATCTCTCCTTTTCTTTTTTCTTTACAATTTTGTTCTCTTCTTTGCGCCAATCAATTGCAGCACCGATTCAGATTTGACTGGTTTGAAATTATCACCTTCTACGTGTTTATAAACACCTTTTTCCACATGACTCATCCTCATGCTACAACCAAGACAATGTAGTAGTTTCTAGCTCGCTCATATTCGGTCATCGATTCGGCAAGATTAGGTCAATAGAAGGCGTGTTTGTTATGAATATTACTTGTTAAACAAACTCAAAGATAAAAAGTTTAAATTTTAGTTCAAACTGTTTAAAAAATTAACTGAAACTAGTTAATAAATGTAAAATATTGTAAATGAAGATATTTATAATACATTCAAATAAACTTTCTTTTTGTTCATAGACATAAATAAATATAGGTAAAAAAAAACAGATTGCTTTCAATTGCAATTATTGGATTGCTATCTTACTCGCTTTGCTTCTTACTCGTCAGAAAGAGTTATTGACTTGGAGAGCTGAGTATTATAAAAGTAAAGGTAAGAAATTTTTTTAAATAAACAAATAGTAGGTCTTGAATTAAGAGGGGATAAAAGAGAATTTAAGGTAAAAATAAATTACAAGTTCACAGATAACCATAACCTCAACTAAGATTCCATAAACATTATACTCAAAATGAAATAAGCTTATTTACTAAATACAATACATTTAGTAAAATAAATTAATGCCATATCTAAATATAATTCGACACACTCAAAATCTTCGAATACCTCGTACCAAAATAAAATATCAAAATTAATGCAAACAACATAAAACTGTTTACTAGTAGAATCTGTCCAAGAGAAGCCGCTAAGAAGCTCACTCTATGCATGCAGGCTACAGGCTGTGCTCAAGTTGGAATTACATAAATTCGATAAAAACAAACATTGATCCATGTTTTGTCTATTCAGAGTATTCATATTCGGTTCAGCAACAACCAATTTAAAATATACTTGTGCCTAAGGCTCACACCAAATATCACCATATTTTTCACGCTACTATGATGGCATTAGAATATAACATCAAAGAAAAACAATGAACAGACTACTGATGACTACGCTCAATTTAGTATTAGGCATAATTGATTTTGAAATATATACATTTAATTTTTATAATTAGTCTTCATTTGCGAATATTATAACATCATTAATGAAAGTTTCTATTCCCTAAATAATATTTTTCTATCAGTTTATTTTTAGTCTTTATATTTTATTTTTGTCCCTTCGACTAATTTTTCTCTATTTAAATCCTGCACTACTTGTATTAAATTACTTTTGCCGCAACTTAGGGAAGTTGCTTTGGGAAGCCAGATTTGAAGTTTCATGGCTTCCAGATCAGATGCAAACAGGGCTTAACCAATTCCACAAAATAAAAAATTGTAACTTTTCCAAAAATCTTCTCCAATGGCCCGAAAATTACCTACCCTAGGTTACAACTCAAATGCATTTTTATTGCCATAATTATCGGATTATTAAAATATGTTCGCACACCGATTCGTCCCACTATCACTGATTGGAATTGGTATTGATAATATATGATCCTGCACCCTCGACCCTCCAAGATAGACACGTGGCATTGTTTTTGTTGACTACAATATATTTTGAATTTCCAAACCATGAAACTTGCGCCATACTCTATATTAAGTTCAACGGATGAAACTCACGTTTCAGAGCAGTATAAGGGGAATATTCTTGGAATATTTGCCAAAATCCACAGCCTTAATTGTGATAAAATAAAAGGGCAGAGAGGAACCAAAACTGCAATTTATTTAACCAATGGAAATCAAAATCTTAAAGGAAAAAGTTTATTAATTATTAATCTCCTAAAGAGAGTTCTCTTGCTAGCGAGAACATAAACAAAAACAACCAAGGAATACACGAAAGTGGCATAGACGACACCACAAAAGGCACTCTCAATTACCCCATTGTTTTATTGAATGAATCAATGGGAAGAAATCTTAAGGTTGAGGGACTTGTTGAACCAAGCCTTCCAGCTCCCACTCCCTCTGCGGGAAAGCGTAGCACCAGTCCCACTCGCGGTTCCATCCGCGTCGGCTACACCCGTTGATGTCTGTGGCTTCTTGCACAGCATGAAATTCCTAGCCCCATGTGATCCAATTGAATCCCAAGGACTCAAAGCTACAACACCATCGAACACACATTTCAAAACGAGTCCTTCACAAAGAGTAATAATAAAACAATATCATTAATGAAAATGAAAATACCATCGGATCCGAGATGTGGACAATAAAGCGCGAAAGAAGCGATGTCGGATCCCAGAACGGGAAGCCTTCCCTCACGCGCGTATGATTTGAGGGCGGTGTCAATAACCGCCGCCACAAGCTCTTCCTCGTTGACGACGAAGCGAATAGGGCCGGCGCTTCCCAGCACATTGATGCTGATCAAGAGCCTTCTGGCGTTGACGTTCTGATTCTTCTTGGGCTTGCTCAGCAACATCGTTTCAAAATCCCCAAATGAACCACACAAAGATTAAAAAAGCAGCGATCGAGGAAACAAATAATGAAAAAAGGAAGCACGACCCAAGAACAAAGGAACTGAATCTGGGTCCGATTTGAGAATCAATGAAGGGGGTGTTCAGGGGTCGAGGCCTAGGCAGCGGTAGTACCAGGCACGCTTGCAAGAACCGAATGTGGAGGGAACAGGGAGGAGAAGCGCGCTCGCCCTCGACGGCAAAAGGGAGCGCATTAAATCGAATCTAATTAGGGTTTCTACCATTCACAACGAGTTTGGGAATTGGAGAAAGAGAAGGGTTGGTTTTGTTTTGGGTTGGGTTGTGAGAGGCAAAGAGGGGTGTTTAAATAGGAAGGGTGAGGTGTGTTGGCATGAATCAGGACTTTGGATAATTAGGGTTTTGCTTTGTGGTTTCGGTTTTGATGAATTCTAGAATCGGTTATTTACCTCGTCACATTAAATATACTCTCTTACAACCAAAAACTCGTGTAAAATTAATTCTCCGCTGCCTGATGCCTATGTTTAGATACAGATTGAGGCCTTCTATATTTTTCCGGCACCTTCTTATCTAGAAATTTAATATTCCGCTCAGGTCAATTACAATTAGCATCAGTAAAACAAAATCCTATCAATTTTTTTCTTAATTATTTACCTTATGTTTTTTTTTATACCTTAAATCATATTTTTAAAATTATATTAAATACAAATAATGAGAGTTTTTTTTAAATGATTTTCTTTTATTTACAAAATTGAATATGAGATTTTATTTACAATTTAAGAATGAATACGATTATAAATTTTAGTAATGTAAGTTACGCATATTTGGTTTCTTTTTACTCGCATCAAAATTTATTTACTCAATTTTCCCATTCTGATTAAGTTTAAGAGAGTAAATTATCAAATCAGGATATATTTATGTACCAAAGAAAAAAGTAAATAAAATTTATTCACTTTTTAGGATTTTTTTTTTACATAAAAAACGATTTACAAATTCATTCAAGTCTTTGTTTTTGTAGCGGGCTGCAAATATGGGAATTTATTTATAAACCTAATTAACTTCCTTTGAAAATGACATCAGATATCAATAGAGACGCTATAGAATTATCTCAGTAAGATGCCTTTACCATTAACAGAAGCCCACTCCAAGCAATGCTAACTTTTTAGAGAAGAATGGGAATGCAATGCCAATGGGTTACTTGCAGTTTCCCTTTTCCCCATATATGGATATGTTACCCTTTTTTCATACACATAGATGTGGGCAACTCGAACATTGCAGCTTCTAATTATTTAGCATACAAAGAAATATATTTGTTTTGTTTCTTTATTTGTGATATTTCAAATCTATTTGTCCTGCAAAACATGTTTTGGTAATAATGGACAAATATGTGACAAAGGTTAGTTACTTGAATTAAAGTTGAAAGAAAAAGAACTATCTAACACCATTTTTTTAGGGGACCCTAGATGCTTTTTTGTCTGTAATCAAATTAATTGTCTTTTAATTTAACACTATTGTATTTATCCAACCTACAGATTCTTTAGGTTGGAAGAACGGGTTCAAAGTCAAAGAAGCAACAGTGGAACGAAACAAAATACAGTTTTCTAACAGAGCGGAAGCATATTTAAATATATTTTGTGCAATTCCTTTACAGCTAAGAAATTTTACCATCTCACAATATCTTTAAAATCTGTGAAAAGTTTGTCTATATACTTGTCCAAACAAGCTGTGTTTACAGAAAAAAAAAAAAGGCATAATAAACAACAGTTAAAACATGATGAAGCTATAAGGCCCAAAGCTAAGTTGATGACTATATAATATATTTATCAAAGTTGAAAAAAACATATTTCAAAATTAATTCAAAAATAAAATATCAATCAAACATTTCTTATAATTGTTTTTTTATAAGTTTATAAAATAACAGACTATTAAAAGTGAAATGATTCTTAATAAAGCATAAAAATACATTTAATTATTTATATTGATCATAAATCAAGAAAAATATAAATATATTATTATTTTAAATTATGTATAAATTTTAATTTTTTTAATCTTATTCATGTAAATAATATTTGAATAATGTTAATTTATTTATGCAGTCTTAGTGGATAATATATTTCAATAAACATATTTCTTTTACTTTTAACTCCTTTTTTTCCGTAGTTAACTATTTCTATACCGGAGAAAATTATGAAAAGCTCGTGAAAATAGATCATGTTACATTTATAAACATTGCTCAATTAAGAATTTATTTAAGATGAGTTATACGACGTAGGATTGCGCAAAAATATTTGTAAAATAATAAAATAAAGAGATAAAACAACGAATATTTTAAGTTTTAAATTAAATTAAATTAAATTAAATAAATCGTTGTTTTTTTTATTTTAATATAATAAAATAAAGAGATAAAACAACGATTATTTTAAGTTTTAAATTAAATTAAATTAAATTATAATTTACGATACCATTTTATTTTATTATTGTATAAATATATATTTGTAACTAATTGATTTAAAATTTCATTAATATTAAATTTGATGATTTTTATTCATTGATTAACTAGAACAATTAAATTATATATATACATACATATATATATATATATATATATATATATTAAAAAACCATCAAATTCCAAATTATAAAATTAAATTTGGATGATGATATTATTTTCAATACGATTTCGTCTAAACCGCAAGTTTTTCTACGATCGGATCGGACCATAAATGATCCACACCGACTTCATTTACAAATTTCCAATTGTAGATTGGATTTGGATCCGTTCAAACCCTACCTCACGCTCTCCTTCATCGTGCTCGTCCTGTTCTTCACCGGGAGTTCGCAAAAAATTAATTTAGGTATATTTATATTCCCCTCTCGTCTTTTTGAATTTGATTGTTGTTTGTTGTCGAATCTGTGTCTCAATTTTCCTTTCTACCTTTAATTATCCATGTTCTTCATTCGTGTTTTAATTCTGTTTCATTCAGTAATCACGCATTCTTCTTATTCATTGCGGAAAAATGATTCACGTGCATTCTTTAAGCTTTTCTCATTGCTTTTCATACGAACCCCAAGCCTTGAATCCCTTAATCCCCAGCTCCTCATGAGACTATTCTACGAGAATCCCGTTGATGCTTATTCTCCAAATCTGTATTAGATGTAGGATTTCAGCGGTTTACAATGCTTCCCATTCTGTGTGGCATAGGTGCATATGTTTTTAAAACAGTATCAATTCCTTTATTTATTTGTGCTGGTCTATAATTGCTAAGAATGTTATCCTAACTTTGTAGTTGGTCAGGTTCCAAACTAGATTGCAAGAATGAAAATTTAGGTGCATTTTATTAAATTCTTTTCGAAATGATTGGATAACTTTTACACGTTTGTTTGTGCAGTTGCAGATTCAATATTTCTCATCAATTCTGTATGAGAAGTTGAAGCTTGAGCAAATTCTTAGCTGCGCACTAAACCACTACAATGTTTTTGTGGCTAGATGCTATCCAAGATTGATAACTATGCTACAAAATAAAGGAAATTAAAGCATCTCATGAAAAAGATGGAGATGCTGCTCTTCGGAAAGTTCTAGCAAAAGGCATTTTTGAAAATGTAAATTTAACGGTTATTTGTGGACTTTTTGTTTGGTTTATAGTGGACAATTTTATATGTACAGGTATTGTATTTTATGATTAAACTATTAAACTTGGATAAGTGCAGCACTGAAGTAGTTGTAGTGCACTACTTGAGGGTGTTCATAAAATTATTTCCCTCTTCATATAAGAAATGGTACTGATAGGGAATGAACCTGGAGACAAAAAAATAACTAACTCATGAGAACAATTTTCAAAGATGTTGTATGCCAACGGTGCATTTTGTGCAATTCATATATTAAGGCAGGAATACCATATATCTTTATTCTGACAAAAAAAACAAAAATAAATCGCAGCTTTGGAAGATATGAATTGGGTTCAGCGCAAGATCTACCTTTACAACGTGACTTTTGGGCTTTATATGTTGGATTGGTGGGAGCGTTGTACTTTCAGTATCCTTTATTGCATTCCTTCTACGTGGATTTTTACCCCTTTATATGTCTTTTCCTTTGTATAAAATACAAAAAATTTATCATTTCTAGTTTTTCTGAGGCGATTCCTTCGAAATTTGAATTTGAGATTCATCATTTGTTATATACTGTTTGTTCTGTACTTCTAAGGTAGTCTGAACAATGGTACTTTAGGTGTCTCTTGTTTGGAAAGACACCTGAAACCATGTTAAAAGATATTTGATAAAAAGTTGAGGAACTTCTTGAATTCACATGTTATCATTTCTTTCTGTCTTGGTACTGCTTTAGAGTTCCTAAACTTTTACAGATATTTTGGTGATAGTGTTGATGTGGTTTGTACTACGATATATTACTGAGTTCTTCTAAAGGTATTGCATTTCCTCCCTTCTCATCCACCTTTTAATTAGTGGCATAAATGGCATTGGGCTCTTTCTTAACATATGTCCTGCATGTAGTTCACCTGATTATAGTGATATTTATGCTTAATTCAATCTGCTAATTTTGATTGAAATTATTTTGTTGATTTGGAGTATGTATTATTTACTGCAAAAAATATTTAAATGCAGCTAGCGAACTGCACACTCTTGACATTTTTCCACCTGTTCACCAATGCATTCATTAACAGATTCTTGTAAACTGAAACTCACTCTGAACATATTTTTTTCAGAGTAGTGCATTTTTTACCTGCATTGCATCCACTTATTTTCATCTGTTTCTCTCTTCTAATTACATCACATCACCTATTACGTCTTTCAATTCTCTTTCTTCTTTTCCTATCTCTTACTAGGTGTATATACCAAGTAATTGTATGAATAACATTTTATATATGCAAATTTTGAAGAAGTCCTAGATCCTGAGACGCCTTTATATTTTTGCATCCGATCTAGCTCCTGTTTCCAATTCTGAATATGTAAGTCTCTTTAGAGACAATATTCCCACTACCTGATAATAAAATTACATTTAGAATGCCAATGCTAAACATCCTCAATTAATCTATTGCTGAAGCAACATATATTGCAATCTTAGCATTTATCAACATTTTGCTAGTTTCTTCAACAATACTGTGAAGTTTTATAAACCTGAAACCGAACGGGCGTGGAAAGGGGTCCTTATTTCTTTTATAATTTATATCCTGCAATTGCAAGGGAATCTCTGTGCATATTGCAATTCAAAGAATCAATTTGAGCTTTTTTTCCTTTCTAAAGTGTATATTTAATTTTTAATGTCAGGTATGTTCGCTGAGAAGCAAAGTCATTCTCACGGGAAGATGCCAATGTAGATAGTTACCTAGGGATTTAAATTAGTTGCAGCCGGGTGTTTGGGATAACTAACTAGGGAATAGCTTGTAGCAGTTTGATATGGGCTGACAAGGAATTTCTTTAAGCTACCAAAAAATAGCGCTTCTCCCTCCAGTTATACACCGCCCTGAATTTTATTTGAAAATTTATTTTAGATTGTAACAATCATCGGGATTGTTCGCGACTACGTGTTTAGAACTGCTGAAAATGTGAGCTCCTCTAAAGGTTTCATCGAGGGTGGGGCGGGGAGGTTTGTAATCAAATATTTAGAGATCGGAGACTTTATTTTATTATCGTTTTTCTCTGCCTTCTCTGCTCATTATTTTCTGTTGTATTTTACTTTTATTTCAATGTTGCTCCGCTGGTTCCCAAGCTAAACCAAAATGTTTTCTAACGGTTATTGTAGTTTGAGGAGTTTAATTTTGGGTAACGTTGCAGAAAATGCAGGAGATTGCAACAGTATCGTACCCTCCAAATTGGGCGCATACTAATTATGTTTATTTCTTTTGTTGTTCTAGTATGCAGGATCAATTTCACCGTGCGAATTTGCCCCCTGTGGTGGAGGCATCATTGTCTTGGTTAAAAGACATCAATCTGCCAGGTAAATTTCTCTCTTGGAAAAAGAAAATCGTTATCCCTGATCTACAATGATAATGTGCTGCCGTTACGCCGCTTCCTCCGGATGTATTTTTTGAGGTGTTTCCCCTACCTACACCGATTGTTTTGCTAGGGGTGCATTCCCCTTGGGCATTTGATTCTCTGAAGTTGATGTAATCGTCATTGGATATTTTGGATTGTTGGGTTTTTTCTATGGAGGGGATGGAAAAAGGGGCATTCTTTTTAATATTAAATTTTAAATAAAATAAAATAATAAAATAATATAAATTTTGTATGTTTATAAATATTACATATTTTTAATTTATAGATAAAATATAATTTTTTTCCTTCTAAAATACGCACTTGGATGGTTCACAGCTCAGAGTTACTTTCACCTGCAGGATAGGACAACGTAGTGGTAACAAAGCCACGTCGCTTCTGACACCACCGATTTCCATTCGGCATCCACACAAGTCAGTCACCACTGGCAAGTGTGGACGGCTAGATGCTACCTTATAAGCTGGGAAAGGGGCGCTGCAAATTCCTATGTGGAGATGAATGCAAACCTCTCTGTTAGACATGAATTACACCATGGTAATAACAAATTGTTACAAAAATTATTCTAAAACATCTAAATGTTTTTAATTATTAATAAAAATTAATATTTCTTTAGATTTGTAAAATATTAAATATTATAAATTGATATAACATTTCTCTTGTTATGTAGCTGTGTATTTTAAGCTATGGTGTTGGATCTTTGGTTCAGATTTACCCAAAAATTGAAGTCTTTTTTTTTTTTAAGTTCGTATATTAAAATATTTGACACTTACATTAAATAATGAGATTATATCCGGTAATACACAATAAATACATAAAAAAGAACATGTACGACTGCTCAAATATAAATATAGTTTAATAATCATAAAAGCATTGAAAAGCAACAAAATCAAGACTTAAATTCATTGTCTCTCTTTAAAAGGAAACATTGAAAAAGCAGAAGGAAATAAAATGTTTTTTTTTCTTTTTTGCTTCTTTCGATGCACAAAGTTAAGTACAAGAACAAATGTGACGTGAAAGAAATTATGACAAGGGGATGAAGGCGAAGAGATTGATGACGGATAGGAGGTGACGATAGGGGAAAGGAACTTTCACAAAGGAGAGAAAAATAACTACTAAATATGAGGTAAAGATTCCTTATAAAGGGCGAGAACGAGAATCCACACAAAGGAGGCTAGGGGACCCCACCCAAACAAAGAGGGAGAGGCCCGTCTTTGTTGGGGTTTCCAGAAGAGGCGCTTCTAGACCCGAGAGAGAGAGATAGAGATAGAGAGAGAGAGAGAGAGAGGTGCTTAAACCCTTGCCCTGTCCCTTTTTGTTTTTGCTCTATTTAATACTATTTTTAACATTTAATCACACTTTTATTTTAATTTGCTGCTAAACAATAAACAAATTTAGTACAGTTGAGGCTTTTGTGTGTGTTATATATGATGTCAAATTTTAATAGTGCAAATAATAGAAATGAGTTTAAAATGTCAATTTGAAGTAATTATTCAATCCACTTGTATTAAATGATTTAAAAGATTCGGACATTTAGAAGTATATTTTAATTTTTTCTTAAGATAATACATATCTTCTTTAACTTTTAATTATTAACGTTTTAAATTCAAATTATTTTAAATGAATCATTCATATTGTTTTGTTTTATTTTTATATAATTCGTAAGTTTTTTTTAAAAAAGGCAGTGTTTGTGTTAAAATGGGTGAAGGATACTTAAAAAAAAAGCATTCTATTATTTTTTGGGGGCTCAAATAGTACTCTTCTCTTCATGAATGAAACAAGCCGACAGGGTAAGATATCACGCAAACCTAACGAGAGTCTGTTGGGCCTTTTGCATTCTACAAAGTGAAAAGCTAGAAGATCTTTTACATAAAAAAAAAAGAAAATTTAGGGCTTGTTTGTTTCTTATTTGATTTTTAATTTTTACAAATTATATCTTAAAATAATTTTAAAAACTCTTTTTAAAAAGAAAATAAAAATAAAACTTATGTTAACAAATAAATTTTATTTTATTTTTTAAAATTAAAAATAAAAACAAGAAACAAAAAGCTCTTGGTATTTACACGCCAGAGTATATGTCTTGAACAAAAAGTGCTCAAATATATTCATTTTATGCACCAATCTTTTTACAACAATAAGCCCAACGGGAACTATGAGGGCTTAATGAGAATGTCAATTAGTTGATGGTTGGCGTTGGTGTAACTAACGATAATACAATAAGAAATTATTTATACATTTTTTCTAATAAAATGACAATCAGTTTAATATATTTAGTATTTTCATGAAAGCCTTAGTTTAAAGCAATTTGATTATTATGAAATAACTTTACATATTCAATTTTGAGTGGTTGAATGAATTGTTTAATCAATACGAGCTCGCATGATACTAAGGCATTAGTTTAATATTATGCGCAGTGCTAGATCCATCCATCTACTCTTGAAATAAAACGCCAACGAAAATGGGGCTTAGCTTAACCATCTTCTAAACAATTAATCACCTTAGTGAGACTTTTTATTTATATGCCTTTAAATCCAAATAATTGCTTCTCAATCATTATCACAAGGATATAGAAGAAATTGATCAGCTGTATAAACAACAAAAATAAATAGACTTATTCACTGGACCGATAATTTTTTTTGTAAATATGTTATTTTTATTTGATATTTATTTCAAATGAAAAATATTATTTATGAATTAAAATTAATTTATTTTATTCTATAAGTTATTAACATAATTACTATTTAATTTCAAATTATAATAATAAAAATGATGAGGAGAGTTGTGGTATTGCAGTTAAAGATACAAAGTTTTTTTTAAGATATTTAAATAATTGATAAATTAGATAAACTATTTATCTTAAATGTTTGAGACTACTTGAATTGTTATTTTATTTTGTTAAATAAAGTGATTTGATAATAATTTTGTTGAATAAATATTTGGTATTTTAAATTTTAGATAAAATTAATATTTTTGTCTTTTTCAATATTTAATTTTATTTAATTTTTTAATTTTATTTTAATTCATTTCAATTGTCTAACTTTTAAAAATATCATTTTTGTTAAAAAATATTAACTTTATTAATTTTTTTAGATATACTATTAATTTATTATTAATTATCTTTTTCTTTAAAAGGTTTGATGTAACATCTTAATTAATTTCAAATAATCATTTTTGTATAAATTATTTTTCAAAATTTAGAGGAGATAATAAAAATTTCATTTCAAATGGCCTCAAATACAATATTCCAATAAAGTATTTCAAAATATAGTATGAGTTACAAATTTGAATTAAAATAAATACAAGACCTATTTAATACATCATAAATTTTAAAATAATTTTCTAAGTCCTATAACAGTATCATCAATCCCATTCACTAAACTTAGTGTTGATCGTCTTGAACATCTGAAAAATAAATGTAAGGAAGAGTCCCCTACACTATCACATACAAAAACATAGAGATCCACCTTGCATATTTCAGAACATTCCTAATATAATAAAATCACACTTTAATGGCATTAACTTATTCTTTTCAATATCACACACACACACACACACACACACACACATATTTACACATTAATTCATGCATAGGTGCGTTCATTGCACATTCAATCATTTTACACATACGTGCGCTCACTACACGTTAGCCACACTCAATATGCCACCATGATCATAGTTTCTTGATGCCCTCAACCTCAGAGACTTACTCAGTTTCACACTATGGATGGTCGTCGGATAGCTCCCGCCTCACAGATACAACGTATTCAGTCATGGGCCTCTAAACAAAGGTATTGGTTAGTGACTGAGTCAAGAGAAGAATGTGTGGCCTGTGGTGCACCCATGCTCACTATTGGTGTCACCACTACTCTCTTTTCTCCAAGATATTCCTACCACCTCCATCTTCCATATCTCTAGTGTATCGCTGTAACCATTCATAGTATTCAACAATTCCAAACACACTACAATCACAATCAACATGTCATTCACACATTCACCCACATTCTCAATCATGGCACGTATACACACATTCAACCACTTTCATCACACACATTACTCGATATCCATCACACTAAGTTCCACACAAAATTTTTATCCCAACCCTATTGCAATCAAATATTTCCATCACCACCCTATTGCAATCAAATCATTTTCATCAAAATACACATATCTTTCCATGTTTTATATCAATCACATTACAATATATAACAATACAAATGAATTCTAAACACCAAAAGATAGGGTAAAGTCTTTCCTTACCTTGGAATGAAGACCCACTATGAAATTGATGGTAGAACTACTCCTGATATGGATTTTCTTCCTAAATACATGGAAAACTCCATGAAAAGTCAAGGAGAACAAAGAAAGGGTGAAAACAAAAACTTTAACTTATAAAACTTACCTCCAAACACCCAAAACACAATCACATTCTTCAATCTAGGGTGCAAACGGTCTTGGAGGCAATTTAATTAGTGAAATAGGGTTAAAGATTGAGAGAAGTGAAAGTAAAGAGTAAGAAATGTGTTTCTCAAACCTTAAACCCCTCAAATACCCTAGGAGTCGCAATATTCTTCCTACATTGAGATATCTCTTGCTGCAGCGAGGCATCTCCTGCTATAGCGAAACCCCTTCTCGCTATAGCGAAAATATCAGACAAAACTGGACTTGTTTTCTGTATAATCTTGCTACAGTGAGACTAACCCAGAAAACTACCTCCTATTTATTACCTTCTCGCTACAGCGAGAACGCAATAAAAATACTCACATCTCTTGTGACCTTCTCGCTACAACGAGGATTTTCTCACCACAGCATGATACACACGAGTTTACCTAAGACTTTCTCGTTACAGTGAGAATCTTCTTGTTACAGCAAGAATGCCCCTGCAGCACAACATCAGCTTATTCTCTCAAGCATTTTCAATCCAACCACAAGTCAACGGTCACATATTAATCACAACATACATATATACACATACACATGGACTTATTCACATTATTAATCATAAATCAAAATGCACATCCAATTAATAATAACATATACATACTTATATTGATAATTCAAATATTATTACAAAATTCAAAGTGTTACATTTTATGGTAGTTTGGGTGTCTGAGATGCTAAAAAAAAGAATGTGAGTATTCTTAGGAAGCTAATTTGGGAATGTATCCAATCTCTACTCAAGCCTTGGGTAAGGTTACTATGCCAAAAGTACCTATCCTGTGAATTCATATTTTGCGCCAAGAGAATGCATAGAGCTTCACAGGTTTGGTTGAGTCTCGTCAAGGCTGTGTCATATCTTTGGAAAGGGTTTAGTCCACATCTTGCTTCGAGTAATTCATCTTTGCGGTATGAGGATTGACTGGGTGTTGGATTATTATGTCGTCATGTGCCATATATCCACATAAATGACTATGATAAGAGAGTTGTTCACTGTTAGTTGGATAATTCATGACAATTTAATTCATTACATACGTGTCTTCCTCCAAAAATTGTGGATCGTATCAACATGTTGCAGTGGTCTTCTTCTTGGATTGACCATGATTCCTTTGCTTAGGATGGTGATGTTTCGAGCAGGTATAGCGTGGCATCAGGTTGCCATTATCTTATATCTCCCATGACTACTCCATAAGATCGGGTGTGAAAATTGATTTGGAAGCTGAAAGTTTCTGAAAAGGTTAAGTTTTTATTGTGGCAAGGTCTCCATGGGGCTATACCTACTAACCAAGTACAATTTATACGTCATTTAGTGTCAAATGGTGCATGATCACGTTATTCCTGTGCACAAGAGACCATTTTGCATGCATTGTAGGACTGCTCTCACTCTCGTGTGGTTTGGCACGCGTATAGGTATGCGGATGGAGTTTCATTTATCACGTTGAATTTTGTTGCATGGCTTCGTTCCATTGTACATCATCGGGACACTAGTCGCTTGGTGATAATCCTATGATGGATATGGAGATTAAGGAATCACATGATCTTTTCAAATGATAGATGACCTCTTTATCATATTTGTAGGATGATAGCCATGAATCATGCCCAACAAAAGGTATATCATGAAAAGAGTAAGATCTAATTGGCTAATGTACAATGGTGTTGAAGGGCAATTTTTCTAGTAGTGGCAGGTCTGGTGACTCTTTACGGGTCGAGTTACTGGCTATTGAGGAAGGATTACATCTTTGTTGGCAGAAGAAGTTTTGCAAAGTTATTTGTGAATCAGACTATCTGGGACGGTGAAAGTAATTGAAAGTTTTTGATTAGATAGGGATAGTGCTCATAAGCATAGAGATGTTATTCAAAGAATCAAAGAAATAAAAACTTGGGATTGGGACATAGACTTCATATGCATTTCTAAGGAATCTAATTCAGTTGTGCATAATTTGCCTACTTGGAGGCTAAGCATTTGAGTGCAAAAATAGTATGGATGAGTACTTCAAATTTTGTTTTGGTACCTTTCAGAATTGATCTTAGATCACCCTTGTAAATAGTTCATTTTTCTTCTGTTTGTTTAGTTTCTTGATATTAAAAAAAAATAAAATTTATCCACTATTTATTATTATTTTTCTTTAGATTTTTGGTTTCAACTTTATCTCTCATATCTTTTTTTCCTCTCGTTCATCCTTTCTTCAACAAGTTCTCTTAACACAACCAACCCTCTCACCATGTAGATGCTTCTATTGTCACCTTATACTCTCCCAATACCGTTCAACTCCTCCTCCTTTGTCACCTTGAATGTTACATTATTATTGAAAATCCTCGTCAATAAGCAAGAAAGCCTTCTTCCCTCAAGGTCATGGCATTGCCTTAGAGTGATAACACTATCTTCATTACTCCTTATTACGATGTTTTGAAGATAAATAAAAATAAAGTTGAATTTGACTTTTAAATTCGACAAAAAATAAATAAATATACCTAAATTCTAATGTTATTAAAAAATATTATTAATATAAACTTTTATTTTCTCAAAATAGATTGCTTGTATATACTTGTAATCTGCATAGAGCCTAACTTTAATTATCTTTTTAAATAATTAAGTCATTTCATATTTTTTTTAACTCAGCATATACTAGTCCATTATTTGAAGCGATGCGGGCCAAATAGCTCCATTGACAATTCTATTAAAAATATCATAAATTTATTTATTTTAAATTTATAAAAAATAAAATCCAAAAAACAAAGTATAATATTTTTAAAAACTGATTTAAACCTCATTATGTTAAGAAAGGAAAAGTACATATTGCAAGTGATTGAAAAAATATGCAAGTTTGTGATAATCTAACGAAATCAAAGATCAACTTGACCATATTCCAATTTGCGTGCTTTTGACTTGGACAAGACATTTAATTTCTTTTTCTTTTTTTGGGTCAACCGAAGCACTTTTTCTTTGAGTGACTACTTCCAGTCCCCTAAGACTGCGAAAGCCCAAAGTCCCCACAAACTAACTATCTATCCCTAATGGCCACACCTATAAAAGACCCACATCCACATGCACCTCATTCCCACAACCCTCAAACAAGTTAACAACAACAAGAAGCTCATCATGACCACTGCGCCAAAGATAGTGCACATCGAGACCCGCTACGTTGAAACCGAAGCTGTAAACTTCAGAGACGTGGTGCAACGTCTCACGGGGAAAAACTCATCCTTGGTGGCAAGTTCAGATCACAGTAAAGTAATAACTTCACGTGATGGTGTCTGTGCCAAGCCTGAGGAACATGCCACTCCCATATCTGATGGTAACGAAAAGAGTAGCGTTTTATCTTCTATGGTTCTCATGAACTTGTCCTTCAAAGACTTTGAAGGATTCTTGTCTGACATGCCTTCCATGGAGGAGTTGCTCTTGTTGTAGTTTTTCTTTTACATCTTCTTTATTTTATATCGTTAGTTATAATTCAAACCAATGGGTTTTGATGAATATATGGTGTTTGTATAAATAGTTAACATTGTAAGAGCACCTGCAGAAAATTTGAGACTTTTTATCTTCCTGGGTTCATTGTTGTTCTCTGCAAAATTTTCGATCTCTACATCGAAATCAAACAGAAAAAATAAAGGATTTCCTACTATAGTATCTAAGCACCAGATTTTTATTTCTGCAAGAATATGAGACGATAAATTTTAAATGGGATCCCAGAAATTGCTAAAGTATGGGTTGCAGAAGTTTTATTGATTGTGGGGGTGAAAAATTAGGAGTTTGTCTCCCCTATGGAAATGAAACCTTGTACGAAACCGAAACTTGACTATTTGTCTTCGTGGGTCAATTGTAGCCTCTCATTTGGATATAACAGAGCTATACTATTTATATAACATGTTGGGTAGGACCACATATTAATAACCATCGTTATTTATCTTTTCGTAAACGTCATTGCTGCGACTGAACGAGTGAATGTTAATCTGAGCTAAGACAATATAAACGAGTGTCGGCAATGTGAATATAGTGGTTGCATCTTAATATTATGCTGATGAAGTTTAAGGACAACTTTTGTAGTAATATGAAACTGTAATAGAAAAAGAAGTCGGGTAACAGTATTAGTATACAGTCCGAAGAAGACGCCAAATGCTTCCGTTTTGCGTGTCTTAATTCTTGAATTGAATCTAACCCGTTTAGAAAAATTTACGAACAGCTTGACTCGTAACATCAGCAAAAAGTTGGGCTCTTGTACCATTTTTCAAAATAAAAATTCAAAATATATAAATCTTGAAAACGTATGAAAAAACGGGATTACTTGCCTTTAGTGAAATTTTAAGAGTGGTAGGATTCGAGCAAAAAGTTGTTTTAATAGTAAAAAGTAAAAAAGTGATGCATTATATTATCATGAGACTTACGAAAAATATTATTTAAGCAACTTAAAAGAGTTTTACAATTGTTTCCAAAACTTGCGGTGTCTATCAATTCTAATTCTTCTTGATATATTTTTGCTGCAACTTTTTCCATTTTTTAAATTTTTTTGTAGAAATAAAGTTTTCTTTTCTCCTTGAATACCTTCTTTTGATATTTCTGATTAAAAAATATTTTTGATACATTGATCTACTGTTTTATAGATATTTTGAACTTCTTTTGGATACATGGTCATGGTTGGTCTAAAATCATAGAATCATTGTAAAATTTTTAATGATATTTTCCTTTTTAAAATTAAAACAAGAGCAACCAAGAATGTGGAAAGGGTTTGTAACAAAAGTTATTATACCATGCATCAATATGATTAAAATTAGTAAATTCATAAAAGGTTATGTATATTTTTTAAATCAAGACAAGCATAACTGAAAGGGGATGTAAGTATTCTTTGAGCAATTTCTTGATGTGTAATTTGTTCTAATGGCTTTACTCAAGTTTATATTTAGGCATTTGTGAAATTTATCTCAACTTTACATTAAAAATGTCTTTCTTCATGAAAAAATTCAAGACAAAATTTGTGCATTAGTAATTAGTTAATAAGTTGATTTATCTTGTTGTCAAATATTTTATTAACCGGTATATATTAAACAGTGAACTAATGTAAGTTAAGGTTGAGTTAAAAACATTTGTGTGGTGTTTGTTGCTTAATGTAAAAATATCTTGCTAAAATTATGTGTTTGTTGCTTAATTTTATAATTATATATAGACAATTATGTTTAAAATTATTTAACGATTATTAACAAAAAGGTTATATAGTTTTTTTAATGTAACTATTTTAATTAAATCTTGTAATTAAAAATTATTCATTTCACTTCCATAAATATTTGTTTCTTTACCTTCTTTTGAAAAAAATATTTATCATTTAATATTTATTCGTACATTTGGAGTGTATTTATGTGAGTAAATAATTTTTAACGGAGTTTTGTTTGCAGGTTTATCACAAGAGTAGTCTATGTGTACCTTTGTTGCATTGATAAATAAAAATGAATTTAAAACTTATTGAAATAAGGATTGAATTTAATCTTATTGAAATAATTTTCTAAGGGTTGACATGGTAACGAGCGACTTCATTTTAAAGCATTATTTAATTCAAAAGAACAAGAAAAAAAAAAGATAAAAAAAAAGAGATTTTAATAAAGATTTTTAAGACCGAAGAGAGTAAACAAATATATTATTTAAGGTTTAAAATGGTCAAATTAAATTATTAAATAAAAATTAATCTTAATAACATAATTTTACCTTTATTGTTTCCCTTTGAATTTGATTAGAATTTAATTAGAATGCATTGATATTTAGTCACTTAATCATATATTATCATATTAATTAGCTTGAATCGTGCTTCTGTGATATTTAATTTTAAAATAATATATATTATTTGTTTTTAGTTAATTGATTATATAAAAAAATTTAAGTATCAAAATTAAATTATTTCTTTCTTTCTTCCAATTTCTTTTAACTAATTCGATTAAAAAAAATCTTTAATAAAAAATATTTTACAAGATGAAAATTGCATATATCATCTCAACCAATTAATAATTTACAGAAGGAATTTTTTCAAATTAAACATAAAATGTTTTAATAGATGGACTAATCTGACTTATGATAAATTTTTAGCTGTTATTTGGTGACGTTTACTTTTTCAAGGATTAAATTGGGTCTAACGAAATATTATAGGAATTAATGTAGATGTTTACGCCTTTAAATAAAATTTGCTATTTGTTTATTATTATTGTATGTTCTTGAATTCATATTAGAAAAACCAGTTTAATTTTTACGTGCTCACATCGATGTGATGAAATTATTCTATCATTCTAATTAATTAGTGTGTGGTTTACCCATTTATTTTAACTTTCACTAATTAATATCCTAAATTTTCTTTGAGAATAACATTTTCATGTAGTACACCGACACGTTTCTGAAAACTTCGCATACACGAGATGTTAAGAAATTCTCTGAAGTCAATAATATGATGAATTGAAACGAATACAATAGAAAATGATTGTTGAATTCACCAAGAAACTTTCTTATATGCATATTTTTTGGGTCTTGGCTTTCTTATATGCTTGTGTACCTATGCAGTTACACATTTTTGGTCATGGAAACTTCTGTTTTTTGTCGAATAGTGGCAACCTCTTGCATTTTGATTACCTTTTAGCTTCTATAGAAAGAGAAGGCCCAAAAGTTATTGTTATGAATCAGAATGCCAGAAAACATTTGACAACCAAAAAAGCCTGAGAATGAAAACTAGGCCACTTTAAAAAACTCCAGTGGGTCAGTTTCAGATATCCAACTTGGATTGCTGACAAAAACAACAAAACCTAAGCCGTAACACCCAGCTTGCTCATTCAAGTTGGAGAAAAAACAAAAAAAAAGTTGAACTCAACCACAATATTATTTATTATTATGTACTATTTATTTCTAAAAAATAATTCATATTCCAAGTTAGAAAAACAGACTAACTTATGAGTGAAAATAAAGCAGTCTATTTGCAATACATTATATTATACATAAATAATCAAAACATAATAATTTTTAAAGGAAAAAATATAGAGGGAAAGAAACATTTGTGAGAATATAATATTTTCTTTTATGAGAAACAAATTAATAGGGTAATGTCATCCACTCATACATCATTTTGACACAATTCATTTAACTCTATTCTCTTTTTTTTTTTTGTGAATTGTACGAATATTTAAAAGTACGTGTGAAATATAAAATAAAAATATTTACTATAATATTCATTTAATTATTATAATTTTATTTATTTAATAACTTACTATAAAGATATAATTTTAAATAAAAAGTACATTCATTTATAAATTATTTTTTAAAATATAAAGGAATTTATTTGACAATTATTTTGTTATGTATATATTTCTCATTATTTAGGATTTTGTTAATTTTCACCCTTAAGTTCAAGTTTAAACATTTGTAAATAATTTTTTTATAAAAAATTTGTATTTTTATTATATTAAAATTATAAAAATATAATAAACTATTATAAATTTATTATTAATAATTATTTAAACTTAGTTCTAAGAGCTTATATTAACAAAATTCTTATATTTAGCATTGATATAAAAATATTTAATATATATTGAATATCTCAGTAAATAAAAGTATTAATTTAATTTAGTATAAAAGTTTACAATACATGCTACAAAATAAGAAAGATATATGATTATATGAGAAGAAAATGCACAAAAATCCTCACATTCTATATAATAAGAATCTCAAATTTATCATAAAGAAGTGAATTTTAAAATTGCACATTTCTTATGTGAGATTTTGCGTACAAAATTTATATACAACTATCTATGGAGATTGACTTATTTAGTTGACTCTTCACTCATGATAACTGTGTTAGAATTGGGAAAAACCACACTCTTCTCATGCGTATTCTTCATAACCTACTCATAATGGAAACTTGAGGTATATATATCTTTCCACTAATTTGTTCCTATCCTTTGCCTTTTATTGTCAATGTTTTCCGAACAGCACTATTAATAAAGTTGAGCATTTTGACTGTTGTCTGCGTTGAAATCAGGTTGGAATTTCATATATTGTCCCATGGTAGGGCAGGGCAACGTACTTTTATACTAGTTGACTTGGTCATTAATTAAAACCTAGCTCCATGCCACCCCAAAGACTAATTTCTCTTTTAAAATTATAAATTTAATGGAACCAAAAAAATAAAAGAGAAACTAAATTAATGTCATTTTGCAAATACGTGATTTATAAATATTCCATCCTGTCTATGTTGATTGAAAGAAAAATGTTAATTAAAGAAATTAATGATTAATTGAATAACTAACTAAAAAGTTATTAATTTAATTTGATACATGTATTAGAAAACATGAGAATATGTGATTGTGTGCATTGAATATCACTTACAGAAAATATTCTACTCTCAAGAGTGATAACTGATAATTTGATTTTGCTGTATAATAGAGTAT